GGAACGTAACACACACACACACACACACACACACGGTGGAGCGGGTGGTTAAGAAGAAAAAAAAGTGGGGAAACTTGTGACGGCGAAATTGCGTTCTCAAACTTGTTTTATAATTGCCGGAAAGGGGGAAGGAAAAACAAACTATGTGTTTTCGTTTCAAATGACCGTGCGTAGTGTGTGTTTTTGTGGTGAGAGACGTAGTGGGGCGTTATGTTTGAGAATCGCAGACAAACGTGTATGTTACTGAACAAATGTGGGCCATGCTGCTGGAATGGATCAGCGAGGGAAGGAGAAAGATGCTTGTGTCTGCGCCCGTCACCACTTGGATGTTTTGTTTTGCTGCTTACTACAATATATATATATATATATATATATATATATATGATATATTAGGCGGGTGTGTATTTTAAGTATGCATGAAATTACAGAGGTTGGGCGTGTACACATTTGGCCGGTCACTGTATGTACATTACAATTGCTCTTGTTGGCTACAATGCGTTTACATTATTGGAGGTGATTGTGCCGATACATTTTTTATTTTGTTTTGTTTTCCCCGTGTTTGTAGGTACGTCTCTCGTCCTCTCCATTTTTGTTTTGTTTGTTCCCGTGACAAGCCAGAATGAATTTGCTACAGGAGGAGGTCGGCGAGAGTGTTCCCACTTGTGCGCCATCTTGTTTTTTTTTGTTTTGCTGCGTCTAAGGCTGTTTTTTTTTGATGATCTCCACGCATCTGCCTGTTTTGTTTGTTTCTCGGCACAGCGACGGAAGGAAAGGGCTTCACACGCGGTCACACAGACACGCACGGGGTAGTAACACCAAAGGGGCAAACAAGCTAACACGGGTGTAGCGCCACAAACTTGACCTGCTGGGTGGGTGCAACATACGTGCAAGCGGGGAAGGCCTGGTAGAGTCGCTCCAGTAGGCCGCGACGTATTTTTGGTGCACTGCTGCGTTTGTTTGTTTTTTTGCTACGGGTATCTGGCAGGTTAAGGGGCTGACGGCTGTGTGGCTGCTTTAGCGTTTGCATTGGAGGGGGCATTTTACTGTGGTTGCGGTTTGTGTTTAAGCAGCAACAACGAGAAGGGGAGGACGAGCGCAATGTACCTGGAAACTTTTAATCAGCGCCTCACGCTGCGTGGCCCGTCATCTTGGCGAACTCGACGCCCCATGTTGCGCTTTTCTCCTCTCCACACACGTGTGGAAGAGGTTGCGATGGTCACGAGTCCGGCACCCACCTCCCCTCCCTCGGTGATGTCTACGTGCGTGGAGACGCCGTTGGAACTGCAAGTAAAAGTGACACACACTCCGCACCCGCCTAGTATGGCGTGCCATATGCCGGCGATCGCAGTCGCGCATCATGGCAACACGCATGAGAGGACTCCTTCATTGAGCGCCTCTGACGACTGGATTTCCAGCACCGAAGTGTCCGAGCAACGTGTCACGCAGCCCACTCTGCATCCCCTAAGTGAAGATGAAGTAAAACATGTCGAGGCTGCACATAAGAAGTACATGGAGTCCATTGAGTATCCAGGGTCTCTTGTTGCGTTTTTGCAGGAGCTAACTGCCAGCAATAGTGTTGCAGAGGCCGAACAGTGGCTGAAGCACCTGGATATCTTCTTGGGCTCTTTTATTGATGAAACAATGGAAAACAACATCGATGACAGCGTTAAGGTAGAAAGGAAATCCGGTAGTCACCCTCGGATCCTCTCACTGAAGGAGGCGATTGACTTCTTTGCCTGGTTAAAGTCGTCGCAAGGTGATCTGTTTCGACCGCCTTCACCAGAATGTGCCTCCTCTCTTAACACGGATTGCAAAAAGAAATCTGAAGTGTCAGATGAAGGCAACGAGCCGTACAATAATGAAAGGAGTAGCACTCTGTGTAGTCCTTCTCCATTGCCCATGGCTGGGGAGGTGCGCGCTAGCGGGAGAACTACAAGCTCAATATCTGGTAGGGGGCGGGGTAGCCGAACACCTCGCTCAAGGATGCGAAAGAAATCCGAATTGGCGGTTACTTCCTCACGGAGTTATAATTTGGAACAAAGGGCCTTTGCAATGTTGGGCGGTGGCATGGGCGGGAGTGGCATGGTACGCCTCACGGATTTTAAACGCATGCTGACGGCCTGCAGTTTTTACGTGGACTTTAATACTTATGTTGGTCGTGTTATTGATCTGAACCGAACGGGCAGGATCACGTTCAAGGAGTTTCTTTGGATGCTGGAGTGCAGTGTGTCGGGCAAAGTGCCGGCGGCGGCGATTCGACGGTTTCTTGCCGCCCCCATGATTGGGGTGGCCAGCTCTGCTTGCGCGGCGATCCCTCACTCGTCGTTGGGTTGTCAGCCGAGTCCCAAGGCAAAGTGGATGCAAGGTCGATTGAACCATCATGTTGTGCTACCATCGGTGCGACGCGTCCCATCGCGGCGAGAAAAGGCTCTCCCGAAGGCAAAAGGCTGCGCGGGCACCAATGCGAGCCTTAGTCAGCGGAAATTGCTTGAGGAACTTAAGCAGATTTCATCACTAAATCTGCTGCGTCTGTCGCCTTACGCAGATAGCTCGGAGTCGGAAGTGTTGTTGGGGCATCTCACCCGTTCCAGGAAGCATCGTCATTACAAGACAGCCTCCACCCGTTTTGTGTCGACACCATCGCGATCGCCTTCTTCCAGGGAGAAGAGCACCGGCCTACTGAGTGCCCGAAGCAAAATTTTGGACGGTAAGACTTCTGCTGATCATCGTTGCGTCACCACCAATTAGCTTCAAAGCCTCCGTGACCGACAGTTACAGCTGACCAAAAAGCTAGACATGCTGACTGGGCTTCCTGTGAGTACACGCAATGTTCAGCGGTGGCAGGAGGAGTTACTTAGTGTTACAAGAGGAGTTAACTTCTGTGCTCAGCCAAATCACGACCGCACTTCGTTGTCTGCCAGCATGTCAAGCAGATTCTAATACCTGAGGTCTCTACACATGTGCATGGGCATAGCAAGGAGGCTAAAGCGGCTGAGAGCTAGTTGTGGACACGGACGTGGAAAATGTTGCAAGGATATATCCTTCCAAACAGCCCAATATCTTATATCTTTTAGGTGACATGGAAAGGTATCAAATGAATAGCAACAAAAGGACAAAAAAAAAGCAAATAACGGATGGTGCCTTTTTTGAGGGATTTTAGTGACGGTGTGATTGGTTGTCTTCTCGTTCACCTTCCTTCTTTGTTTTTTGTCTTTGTTTTTGTTTTTGTCATACATAGTCAATTACATATGCACATGAGCCGTACGTGCGCGTGGGTGTCTGCGTGTGCTGATTCTTGATTTTAGGTATGATAGATGTACTTTACTTTTTCTTCCTTGTATTGAACGTTTCCCCTTTGTTTATGCTGAGAGGCTTTTTCTGGTTCATTTTTTAAATAAATTTTATCTTGTTATCTCTGATTGGAATGTGTCGAAGCGAGTATTGCAGGTATGTGCAACATTGTTTTCATTTGATGAGTCAATGTCTCTACCTGATCTGGCTGTGGTGATGTCACTGATCACTGGTGTTTTTCATTACTATTATTATTTTGCTCTTTGTGTATGTGCGTTTTTATGCTCATCTCTTTCAGTTGGGCATGTTGACGACTCTCGCTTCTCATGGGACGTGACGTATGGTTTCGTGAGGTGTTTTGTTTCTTTTCTTTCTCTTTTTGTTTCACACACGCGACCACGCATGCGGCGCCCTCAGGGGAACGCGGCGTAGGAGATAAGTAGCGGTTGATTGTGCAGCACTAAGAAGGACGAACTGCGGGGAGACACCAACAAAAACGGAGTTGGGGTCGGGTTGGGGTGCTGCGTGTCTGGTTGCAGGATGTCGTCTTCCGCATGGGTCATTTGTTTCGTCTACATTCGCTTTGACCTGGACGTTGGCCCGCTTGTGGAGTGCGTTGCACCGTCGGACGCACTGACCGATGAAGGTAAGAAGGTCATCATGCAGGTGGCCTTTCCTGACTGTAACCCGAAAGGCGGCCATGATCTTATCTTCTTCTTTCAAATGAAGGACTGCACTACGGCATCCGCTCGTCATCGTGCCGAGGCCTTTGCTGCCCCACGTACGGGGAGAACTAGTCCAAATATTTATGGTGCGACTTACTACCGTCAGAAGAAAGACGCCTCTGTTCCACGGGGATATGTGCAACAGGCCATTGTGCTCCTTTCGCGGCTGCCTTACATGGCTGTTCAGGAGCTCATTTTGCGTGTCGTGGCACCACGGTTCTGTCAATGTTGTCCTCTTTCACCAGACATTGAAAAGGTACCTGTGCTAAGTGCACTCTCACCTCAGCCGACGACATTCTTTGAGGTGGATTCATCTTTTAACCCCAGCCAGTACTCCCAGAAGGACGTGATAGAGCGGGCCGTGGAGGAAATTGAGGGGTGGCCATCTCCCCACCCACATGTTCAGTATAATCTGACCCTGCTCCATCAGCCGCTAACCTTTGTCACACCGAAACGATATATGCTTCCATCAAATATGGCAGGCGGTGCCACATGCCGAATTCCGACTAGGTTGGATGAACGTGTTACATTTTTAGGTAGTAAGCATCAATCGTCGAGTGCAAATGATGTAATTCCTCTTTACGCACTCTTGAGTGAACACCTTCGACATTTGACTCGGGTGTGGGAACTAATATTATGCCATGAACCGCTCTTTATATGGAGTAACACCCCTTCTATGGCGTCTGCGGTGGCCATCGCTGTGGCATCCCTGGTGCAGCCTCTTAATTTTAACGGTATACTGCGCTCATATCTCACCGTTCAGGATGAATCCTTTAGTCGTTACTCCCGTATGGGCAAAGCGATACCATTTCCAACCTTGGAGTGTATTATTGTGGCGGCAACAAATCCGTTTTTCTTCCGAGCCTTTGATGGATGGCCAAATCTTCTTACGGTCATTGATCGACAAGGCAATGGTCTTGAAAATCAGGTAACTCTGAATGATTGCCCTTTTTCTAGTGGCACAGGTGACACGGTTGCAGTTTCGACTACCAATTCCAATTCCACCTCTGCCTTTGCGGCCGCGCCGAGTAATCACGCATCCGTACCCACTGATAGCGTCTCTCTATCAAAGGAGGACGGGAGGACGTTGAGCAGTCCTCGTCTATTTACATACAGTAACTTTTTTCCCGCCCTGGCGGCTGCGAAAAAGAAGACACCACTTTATCCAGATCCCCCCTCGGGTGAGTCAGGTGGGGAGAGCCCCTTGCCTTTTCAGCAATCCGTCAACATGTTTAGGTCTTCATTCCCTTTTTTGGTGGACCACAAAGCGCAAACGTCAATTCTACTCCACCGGTTGGAGCAGGCGTCGCACCTGAACGCAGAGGCTCAATTGGCTTCGTTGGGTGCCCATACTTGGAATGGATGTGGGGAGCTGGAAAGGATCAAAGCTGCAGCGACGGATACCGTGGATCGCGGTGGGCGGTCCAACAGCGCGCAACCGTTTTTTCAATTCAGTATAGCCGATGACATTGTTAGAAAATTTTTTGACACGCTGACGATGGAGTTCCTCAGGCCAGTGGGTGCCTGGTTTCAAACCATGATAAGTACATTGACGGTGTTTCACCTTTGCGACCCAGTAGTTGTTGCTGCGCTCACTCCTGATTCCTTTTTGAACTTCCTCAGGGACAACCGGGAGTCGGTGCCATCATTTCTTTCACGGCGTCCGCACAAGGCGTACAACGTCATGTACGAGCGCTTCGCCCGGGGCTCCTTGTTCAACGCTGTGGTGTGGCAGTTAGTGGATAAAAAAATTCGACAGGGTCTGGAGGAGATCCACGTAGAACAGTGGGCTCTCACACATCCCACGGAGGTGGAGCGGATTGAGATGTTTACCAACCTTTACAAGCTTGTGGAGCGGGAGGTGGTCCGGTCGATTGACCCCGACGTAGTCTTTGTCACAACGGCCATAGCCATCCTGGCAGGAATGGTTGTGTACATCCACGAACCATTACGAGATGAACTTTTGCTTAAGGTCCGCGAATTAAGGATTTGAGTGCAACTGGTGCGTCTTTTTTGTTTTGTTTTGAACTGAGGAGAGAAGCGCGTACACGCGAGAGGACGACTTACATGTATGTAATGCTGACGGTGTGTATGACTGCAACTTGTTTGCTGTTGTTGTTGTTCTTCGTTGGATGCCAATTTGTCTCCTGCTCCGCCTTGTTTCACGCCCCTCGTCTCGCTCGCTGTGTGTGTGTGTGTGTGTGTGTGTGTGTGTGTGTTGTTGTTGTTGCCCCGTTGGTCCACGTCCCTCTTGTACGCCCGCGTCTGTAGAGGCGGGCGGCAATGCTGCTCAGTGACGAGAATGCAGCGATGCTTGCGAAGTATTACCGAACGGTCCAGCTCACCGGGGAGCAGAAGGACCTCCTTATAGAGAAGTACTGGGAGGCCAACAAGGAGGAGCGGAGCGAGATTGCACGTGCCTACTCCGCCCTCTTTGCAACCGATGCGACATTCGTGCAGCGACTGATGGCGTACTATGACACTCACGTTGCTCTTTTAAATCGGGGGAAGGCAAACGGTCGCCACGACGGCGGCGGTGATGAGGGGAGAGAGGAAGGGAACCTGCGCCTGACTCCTCCCCCCATCGAGGACGACGAGCAGCAACCGCCTCATCATCATCATCATCATCACTCACACAGACGGCTATCACGGGGCACCAAATCAGGAGGCGCTGCACCCCTTTCGCACGCACAGTTGCTGCTTCGCACAGCAATTCAGGATCAGTACCCGAAACTCACAGGGGATGGCCCGTTTCCGATTTCTTTTGGAATCGTGCAGACGGAGGAGGAACGCCGCGAGGCCGTTGGTTTGTATTCAACGCAGTTTCAGTATCCAGATCCACCGGAGTTGCAGCGGTTGGTTATTCTCCCACAATCTCACTCGACGCGTACCCGACGACGTGCAAAGGGTGACTACACGTGGTATATTCGTTCGCAGACATCCAAAGAGATGGTCTGCGCGGCTACCATAAAGGCCCATCATTATGACACTCAGCGTTTTGTGGAGGTTCCGTTGTTTGCAACGGGTGTTGGGTACAAGAAAATGGGGTTTGGACGTCTGTTGAATGCTGCGCTTCTGGAGTGGTGTGTTGAAGCCGGGTTTGAGTTTGTGATGATTTCTGCCGATGTGCAGGCCATTCCATTCTGGTCACACCTGGGGTATGCAACGATGTCAAAGAGTGAACTCACACGCATTGCCTTTTATTACGAGCACAACTGCTACAAGTTTAAGGGTGCGGAGGCAATGATCCGCTACTTAAAGGCACAGCCCCTGCACAGCGTGCAGGCCTCTCTGGAACGGATGCCAAAGATTGTTGTCATGGGCCCCCTTAGTCTACCAAATCCATGAGTTGTAAATGCAAAGGTTTGGCGGTGGCAGATATCTGTGCCTGATCTTCTTTCACGTTTTCTTTTTCTTCTTTCCTCTTTTTCCCGTGAGTAAATGCGTGTATGTGTACCGAAGCTGAGGGAAAGCGAAAACGCAACTATCCGCTTCACGTTTGCTCCTTTAATTTACTGCTTTTAATATGTTTTCTATGCTTCTGTCTTGCTCTTGCTGTCATGCCGTTCATGCCTATCTATCTCGCCATCAGTGGTGGCGTCTTGCGGTCCCTGTTTTACCGCACGTGCTCCTTTTCCTCCCACCACCCCGCTTTGCTTTTCTCGCGGGCGACAACAGCGCCTACGCTTGTCTCACGAAAGGAATAGCAAAGGTGGGAAACGTCACACACAATACAGGAGGAGAGCAGCAGTCGAGAGGCACTGGGGGATCTTCTCTGAAAGGACTGCATCAAGAAGAGAAGGCAAACAAACCCGAAGAAGCAGGAAAAAAAAAGGGCGCAGTGGCACCGTGAGAAGGACGGCGACGCATAAAAGACGGAAGGTGGACAGAAAAAAGACAGCGACCGCGGACAGGAAAAGAACGGAGGAACAAGGAGAAAAAGCGAAGAGGCATAAAAATCAATGGATCGCATGGACGATGCCGCAGTTGTGAAGCATGTGCTTAGTAATCGCACTAGCTACTACCGGATTCTCTTTCTAGAACGGAACGCCACCACAGAGCAGATTAGGATTGCATACAAAAAGATGGCGCTTAAATGCCATCCGGATAAAAATAAGCATTCTGGCGCCAGCGAAGCATTTAAAATAGTGGGCACTGCCAATGCGACATTGTCCGATGCGACAAAGCGTCATATTTACGACACGAAGGGGGCCAAGGGAGTTCAAGAGCATGAAAGTGGGGGAGCGAGTCGTGCTGGAGCCGCTGCGCGACGTGCACATAATGTTCCAAATGACTTTTTTGAAGGATTTTTTGGCCGCCATACCAATATGCATACTGCTGGGGCACATGTGTACGAGGCGGAAATTAATCCCAACATTCTGATGGCTGCACCGTTGCTGATATTCTTGTTTTTAGCAATTCTTCTACAGTCTTCTTTAACAGATATCAACGAATACCAGGATCCTCGGGTGAGCCGCGGTGGCAAAAGTGCAAACACATTCAGTCTCACACCGGATCCGCTGCAGGGCCACGTAGTGGAGCGTATGACCTCCCAGAATGGATTACGAGTGAGGTATTATGTGCATAGGGCATGGGCGGAACGGGCCGCACGCGGCCATGCGGATGTGCGTCGTATGGAACGTGAGGTTTTGCAGCAACAGCAGGAATCCCTGTCCCGTCGCTGTGAGGCGGAGTCATTATCGTACAGAGCGCGCGGAAAGAAGGACACACCTCCTGTCTGCTCGGACTACGAGGCGTTTCGTCGAGCGGCGCGTTGAGCATTGCCAGCGGGTATGTGCACCCTTTGAGATGAGAGAGACGAGATGTGGCGGGAGAACGGAACCAACGTGACGGGAATGAAGGTGGGAAGAACAATTCATACGGGAGACTTGAGAAAAAAAAAAGAAGAATAGAAAAAACAAACAACAAAGAAC